TGTGAATAGAGTTGCAACAAACATGCGTGTGCAGTATCTTTTTTGTAGAATGACTTGAGTTCCTCCGGGTATATTCCCAATAGGGGGATTGCTGGGTCAGGTGGAAGATCAATAGTTCTTTCAAAAATCACCACACTGTCTTCCAAAGAGGTTGCACTAGTTTGCATTCCCACCAGACTGCCTCCATTTCTACCTGAGATCATCCATGCTGTCTGCAGAAACTTGATGAACTGTAACTAATCAGCATCTTACACAAAGCATCATATGGTGGGCACCCAGCAAATAAATATATGTTGGCTGGTAAAAACATATGAACAAAAATGTTCTTGGTGATCTCACTCTAAATTGTAACTTTCATCTTGAACTATTTCTTTAATGAACTCTGCCAATGAGTCATCAGCAGTGCAAAGTCCCATTCCTAACCAATATGCACAAGAAAGATGTGGGATGACGGATTTTAATAGCATGGCAGGAGAACAAATGCTTCTACAGTACTTACTGGTATTTGCAGAATTGGTCTGAGTAGTCAGAACTTTTCTGCTATCTCATTTGTACAATTAAATTACTTAGCAGATTGATTGTTCCTGTACAGTGAGGCGGTATCTTTTTGAATCCCTTGGAGCCTGATCTTGGTAGGTGCAGATATTTTTATTTGTTTATGTCTCTGTCTTCCTACCATGTTCCTTCTGTGGTAGTTTTAACCTTGGAGCTGGAGGACCACTAATCAAATGCAGACATACTTCTTGTTCCTACATTTTATAACTTCTCTCCTCTGAAACTTACTAGGATGTTTAGCTCAGTGGTGCCCTGTAACAGGATATCAGTCTATTGTTGTTGTTTCAAAGGAAATTGCAGGCTGTATTCAATCACTGTTCATATTGCTAGACTGTCAATTTTAGAAAGAGCATGCGAATGAGATGTTACAGCTATGCATTGCCCTTAACTGCTCATCGTTTTTCATGGCTGATGGGAAATGCTTACTGCATTTGGTTTCAACGGTTCTTTAAAAGGACAGTTTGTTTTTGTCCTTGTGGCTGAATTCCTACACATCAATGACACCTTTCTCCTTGGGGAATGGACACTTTTGTACCTCTGGTTATGCTAAAACATCCTGTATTTCAAGACAACTTTGGTGGGTATTTAATTGATTCAATTTACATATGATTATGCAAAACGGCCTAAGCAATTCACTTAGAACTATATGTCAAGTTGAGAAAGGAAGACACCTTGAATATCACCTTGCACTTTTAAACATTTCTTCCTGGATAAGAAATGACCAGAAAGAGCCAGGATAGGGTCAGGGCTCATCAGCCCTCCTCCTGGACAGATTGCCCCTCCACCCTGCTCTCTGAGGTGGCAGCTCCAGCTGTGGGGTCACTGGTGCATGGGACCCTTACAAGTTCAGCTTTTCTCTCTTTCCTAACTCTCTGCCTATTTTTGACAAGCAGTGTTTTTAATTTTTTTTTAAAAACACAAGTTATTGTTTCCTTGCCTGTCAGGAAAGGCAACTGGAAAAGGAATTTTTGAGCATTAGGTGATGGCAATGAGGCAAGAGCTTGTAGGGCACCAACCACCATCTGCCTCCTTGTCCCATACCCTCCTCCCATTGGAACCTGACACCAGTGATCACTACTGGCGTTTTAAATGCACCTCTGGAAGCTGTTTGTTTTGAAAACCATTTCAAAGACTTCCTGCTCAATTACTAAAATTCAGTGAAAACTTAAACTACAGAAAGTTGTGGAATTAGTCAAATCATTTTAACTTTAGGAAAAAGATAAGATCGTCAAATTCATTATGAACTTGATTCAAAAATCAAGACAATTGGAATGAGCTTTTGATGGCCATGATCAATATACCTGTGCTGAGAAAGGCAGCGTATTGACAGCAAATGACCTCTGTGGGCTGCGAAATGGCTCTGTTAGTTATTATGGAGATAGACCATTTAAGAAGGGCCGTTTGTTTCTTTATTGCATATTGATTTAGCCAAGGTGATTAAATTCTAATTGCTAAGAACAAATCACAAAAGCATTTGCCAGAGCAAAAAAAAAAAAAAAAATCAACTGAGGAGGTGGTGACCTTTCATAATTGTGCCCATTGGTATTCCTCATAGTTTTATAAAGATGATCCAGGACAGAAAAATAATTGGGAAGTTCAATGAGGGCCAGAACTAGACATTGTTAGAAATACAAATGCAATAATGATACTCTTTCTGCACACATCGCTATAAAAGTAATCAGTAAAACTCCCATAAATATCTTTTAAACTTTAAGTGCTTCTACCTTGAATGAATAATTGAACTTTTAGAGCAATTTTAATCCTTTTAAAATATCAGTTTTCCCTCAACATTTATTATGAAAAATGTCAGATGTACAGAAAAATTGAAAGAATTGTACTGTAAACATTCTTAATACCTACCACCTGTAATCTATAATTAACATTTTTGCTGCATTTGCTTCAACACATATCTAGCCATTGTTATATCCATTCACTCATCCAGCCAGCCTTCTTATTTTTTATGCATTTCAAAGGATGTTACAAACATCAGTACACCAAGGAATTTGTTTTTTTATACCATAGTTCATATAGTTTTTTTTCTCTTCTTCCAAGCTTGTGTACAGATGCAATCATATTTTACCCTCTCATGTCCCCTTTCATCTAGAGAAGCAGACTGACTCTACCCATGTTTCAGACTTGCTGTAAGGAAATAAATGATGAATGCATTACTCCCCCTATGAAGGGGTTCCATAAATGGTAGCTAGTCCTGCTGTTGTTATTAAGCAGGAATTATTGCTTTCTTTTTACAAAATGGTGGGGGTGTGCCTAAGGTTGGTATAGGTTTCCTTAGAGCTAGATTGATAAAAATTATACATAACATATTAACCCATGCTCAGTTTCTTCTATATTAGTCAGGGTTCCCCAGATAAACAGAACCAATAGCTTATATATGGGTACACAGAAAGAGATTTCTCATGAGGGATTGATTGACTCACATGATTATGGAGGCTGAGAAGTTCCATCTGCTGTCTGCAAGCTAGAGCCCCAAGAAAGTTGGTGATGCAGGTCCAGTTCAATCCTGAAGGACTGAGAGCCGGGGCACCAGTGGTCTAAGATCAAATCCAAAGGTCCAAGTATTAGGGGACTGATGGCATAAGTCCTGGTCCAAGTTTGAAGAACCAAGAGCCAGGGACACCAGTGTTCAAGGGTAGGAGAAGATGAACATCCCAGCTCAAGAAGAGAGAGATCAAATCCCCCTTCCTTCTCCTTTCTTTTCCCCATTTCAGACCCTCAGCAGATTGGGTGATGCTCACCTACATTGGTGAGGACCAATCTTCTTTATTCAGTTACTGATTCAAATGCTAATCTCTTCTAGAAACACCCCCATAGACACATTTTGAAATAGTGTTTTACCACCTATCTGGGTATCCCTTAGCCCAGTCAAGTTACATTTACAATTAATATCACATCTTCCTTCAACAGGAGTGAAGATCCTATCACCCTAGGCCACTGGCATGAGCTGCATGTATCTCGCACAGCAAAGAATGGAATCTTACAGGTGGATAAGCAGAAGGTAGTAGAGGGAATGGCAGAGGTAAGAAGAACACTCCTTTCTCTTGGTGGTTGGTGTGAACCAGATTACTCTTTTCTACCTTTCTTGGTAGAAAAGCAGCACAGTATATTGCTTAAGCACATGGACTTCAGTGCCCCCGGGGTTGAAATCCCAACTCCCCATTGAACAAATTACTTAACTTCCTTATTTATCAGGAAATGGGGATAATAATAGTATTGACCTCATAGAGTTGTTGTGAGAATGAAGTGAGTTAGTACTTAATAAGTTTGGCACTTTAAAAAGTGCTTCTCCCCCACTCTACTTTTGTTCTTAACAGTAGTATTATGTAGTAGAACTTGGATCCTAAAGTAGAGTCAGTGATGCAGGGGCAGGAGGACATCTGATAAGAACAGACTGTAAAACCAGACAAACTCCTGGGGTTCAAAATCTACCTCCATTACTTGCCAGCGCTGTGAGCTTACACTTGTCATGGGACCTCCCATGGTTGTGATTTCTCATCTCATCATTATCCTCATATGAATCAGGACAGTGGTGATAATAGTGCCTACTTCATAGAGTTGTTGTGAGAAAAAGAATTACGTATGTAAAACATAACAGTGATCAATGTGTGGTCAGCACGAAATAGCTTTATGTCACTTCTCAGCTAGAGAAACAGACTGACTCTACCCATATTTCAGGCTTGCTGTAAGGAGATCAAATGATAAATGCAATGCTCCTACTATGAAGGGGTCCAATAAATGGTAGTCAGTACTGTCATCGTTACCAAGCAGGAATTATTGTTTTCTTTTTAGCAGTAGTTAACAGTGTACCATTATGGACTCAAGAGGACAGAATTTCCACTCAATTTTATAACTATCCATCGTGATTTTATTTCCAAGGTCATGGCCAAAGACAAACAACATTTTTAAGAGGAAATATGGGAGATTTGCTTTCAACTATAGCCTGCACACACACACAATTTACAGTTCCCCAAAAAGAGAGAAGACTTTAGATTTGTCAATATCTTAGTTCCACCTGTCTTCTTCTGTGCAAAGCAAGATTTAAAGAGGGTATTAACGAATTTGGGTATGCTGATGAGGAAATGGATTAGTAGAAAAAAGAAAAGGAAGAAAAAGAGACCTTTGATGGAAGAAGAGGTATTTCGTTTAAAAAGGACAAAAGGAGGACATATATATCCAGAAGCCAGCCTTAGGGTTTGCAGCAGTAGGAGGGCCTATTAAAACCAAGGACCTCCTTGGGAATGAGAACAATCCAAAATTGGGTTCTGCCTCAAGAGGTGAGCACCCTTCACATCTAGAAATTCTCCATATATATTTATGGAAGGAAGAAAGAAAGGAAGGAAGGAAGGGAAGAAAGAAGGTAGGAAGGAGAAGAATGAAAGGAAGTGGATTTTTTAATTTTTATTTTATGAGTTGGAGTCTCACTCAGGTCGCCCAGACTGGAGTGCCACCGCAGCCTCGACCTGCTGGGCTCCGGCGATCCTTCCGCCTCAGCCTTCCAAGTAGCCGGAATTACAGGCATGCGCTACCATGTCCGGCTGATTTTTTGATTTATTGTAGAGATGAAGTCTCACTGCCCAGGCGGGTCTCGAACCCGCGGGCTCAGGCAATTCACTCACCTCAGCCTCCCAAAGGCACGGGATTATAGGCTGAGCCACCGAGCCCGGCTAGGAAGTGGACTTTAAAAGGAGAACAGAAGTCACCAATCCAGAACATTCTAACAGCTGACTTTAATCCAAGATAGATTTAAAAGCTCCCAAGTAGACACCTGGCTGTATGTTGGCTTAATTATGTAAATTCAATTGCATTTCTCTAGTTCTTAGTTACAAGCATGTATAAACCAGGAACAAAAGCTTAGGTTGGGAGTGTTTGTAAATAATAGGAATAAGATCTTTGATTATAGTGGCCACTGCACTCCAGTCTGGGTGGCAGAATGAGACCAAAAAAAAAAAAAAAAAAAAAGATCTTTGATTATAAATAGGAAAGTCTTCAGGGCACAAAATTTACTGTTAGGATCCTAGAGACAACACAAAGGTGAACACCATGCCTCAGAGTTTCTATTACTGCATATCAGCAAATGAGAATTAAACCAATATGGTGGACACTGTGCCCTCCCTTTTGGCTTTGTGACCTGCTGTGTAAGGGTGGATGGAGCCGACCAGGTTTGCTGTCCACCTGGAAAGCAAAGTGAACTCCCAGGAAGGTATGGCCATGGTGTGTGCATTGGAGGGACATTCTGCTGAGGCTGCTCTAAGGCAGGAAGGGGAAGGCCAGTCTTGATCTCAATGAATTGAACCTTACTTTAGTCTCTCCCCACAAGGAATTCTACTCGCCAGCTGTCTACCACGTTCAAAGTGTGGCTGAAGGGACAGTGGTGTTAGGGCTTAGAGACAGTGGCGGCAAGGGTTTGAGTGCACTTTGGAAGCTAACCCAGGACCTAGAAACCTAAGAGCCTGTGTCCAACCTAAACCTGACCCCCAAACCCCTCAGCCAAGAGCACAGAAACACCAAGAGCCCAGTACTGAGTCCAGCTATGCAAGACTCAAAGAAGGACAGTGCTCTCAGGGCTGCAGAAAATCTTAGCTTGGGGTTCTGCTCAGTTTCTCAAGCTGCTTCCAGCCAAGCAGAAGTAGCAGATCCGGACACGAAGCCCCTCATTTCAGAGCAGACCTCACTTAAGTGAGGTCTGTTTGTGCCTCTTCTGCAGTCCATCATTGGCGCAACAACTGCAGCCCTTCCTCTTGTCCACGGGACGGGGTTAGGGGAGGATTTTGATGAACAGCCAGAAGGAACAGGCCCTCACCCCATGAGGCCCCACCCCATTTACTGGACACAACCATAACTGAAAGTCTTTTCAAAACAGCCAGCTGTTCTGAAAACTTTTTGACTCTGCACTCTTCCTCCTTTCCTCTTACTATCTTTTTTTTTTTTTGAGTTGGAGTCTCACTTTGTTGCCCAGACTGGAGTGCAGTGGCTG